CCTGAGATCATGACCTGAGCCAAAATCAAGAGTCAGATGCTTAACCAACGGAGCCACCCAGGCACCTCTAGCCCTTCTAATTCTACTTTTAGTTTTCCAGAAGGGTTGTGTTCTCTTGCTTCCAGGCCATTGCTCATGCTGTTCCTTCTGCCTGCAATGCCCTCCCCTTTCCCCTTTTTTACCCCTGGCCAGTTCAGCTCTTCCTTCAGCTCTAAGGGCTTGGAGTGCAGGTCCCCAGGGTTGGGTGCTGTTCTTCCTCCTCGATGCTGTTTGTTCTCCCCCTGTCTCCCCCATCAAGGTCGAGCTGGGTTACTGGTTTGTTTCTCTGCTGGTGGTGTGGTCAGGGCTGGATGGCTGGTTCAGCCAGGAATGTAGCAGACCCCAGCCGGCCCAGCCTCACCTCCTCTCCCTGTGTCCTCAGGAGCTAGACATGAGTGACTTTGAGGAGCAGTTCAAGACTAAGTCCCAAGGTCCCAGCCTAGACCTCAGTGCTCTCAAGGGTAAGGCAGCCCAGAAGGCCCCCAGCAAGGCCACCCTCATTGAGGCCAACCGGGCCAAGAACCTGGCGATCACCTTGCGCAAGGGCAACCTGGGGGCTGACCGCATCTGCCAGGCCATCGAGACGTGAGTACCTCTGCCCTGTGCTTGGAAGTAACCCATCCCCTCTACTAGGCAGGGGCCATCAGGCTATCAGTAAAAGAGTCCCCAGCCGTGGGGCAGAGCCCATCAAGCTTCATGCTAACCCTGGTCAGGAAGTAGGGCTGGGAACCTTGTTCCTATTTTCAGGTAGAGAAAACTGAGAAAACTGAGTCCACTGGGCAGGGCAGACAGTTTGGTAGACAGTCCATAATGCGAGTCTACACCCAGACCGAGACATTCCTGTTTCCTCCCTGCCTCCTTGCCCAGCTGTGGGCACTCAGGCCCTGGCATTTACAGCTGGGCATCTGTCCCTACTGTATGATAGGGACCTGTGGCTTCCCAACTCCCAACTAACCTGACTGCTACCTCTTGGTCCTTGAAGTTATTGGCAAATCGCAGATACTGAAGTTCATTTATTCAGTCGAGAAAGTGGGGGGGGGGTTAGTCCTGTCCTCAAGAACTGGTGGGTATAGAGCGATAACTACCCCATCTTCCACCAGGTACGACCTACAGGCCCTTGGCCTGGACTTCCTGGAGCTACTGACCCGCTTTCTGCCCACGGAGTACGAGCGGAGCCTGATCGCCCGCTTTGAGCAGGAGCAGCGACCCATGGAGGAGCTGTCAGAGGAGGACCGCTTCATGCTACGCTTCAGCCGCATCCCGCGCCTGCCGGAGCGCATGGCCACGCTCACCTTCCTGGGCAACTTTCCGGACACTGTCCAGCTGCTCATGCCGGTGTGGGCGGGGCAGGCAGAGCGGTGTGGGCGGGGCAGGGTGGTATGGGCGGGGCAGGCAGAGCGGTGTGGGCAGGGCTGGCAGGGCATGTGTTCTGGGTGGATGGTGTGTTCTGGGTGGATGCGAGGCAGCTGGCAGCCTCCACTCCCCCAGGGGGCGTTTAGGAGTACTTGAATTTCCCATGGCCTTGCCCCCCACCCTGCCCCAACTTATCTCGACTCTCCCATTGCACCCCCAGCAACTGAATGCCATAATCGCAGCCTCAATGTCCATCAAGTCCTCTGACAAGCTCCGCCAGATCCTGGAGGTGAGTGCCCAGCGCGAGGGCCTGGGAAGTGGGGCCCACCCCATGACTCCTTGCCTGTTCCGGGTGCTGCGAGAGGGAGACCCCGGCCTTGCCCTGCACTCCTAGCATGCAACAGTTATGTTCCCAATTCTCATGTAGAAAGAATTAAGGCAGGGGTGGCAGTCATGTCTACAGCAGCGTACCTTAGACTCTTCCGGAGGGCCAAGTCCCCTCTGGGGATCACTGTGTGATTAGCAGAGCACCCACACCTGCTTAGTGGAGTCTAGCAGTGTCCCGGAGCCAGTAGAAATGGCTGTTAGATGGTGACACCCCAAGGGAATGTGAGCAGCGCAGTTCCGGGTAGGAATAGCAGAGGACAAAATTGGGTACGCCGAGGACCACCTGGCTGGCTCAGTCGGTTGAGTATTATGCGGCATTTTTTTTTAAGTTTATTTATAATTACTTATTGAAGAAATTTCTACACTGAATGTGGGGCTTGAACTCATGTCCCCAAGGTCAAGAGGGACATACTCCTCCAACCGAGCCAGCCAGGCGCCCCAAGCATGTGACTCTTGATGTTGGGTTGTGGGTTTGAGCCCCACGTTGGGTGTAGAGATTACTTAAAAATCAGATCTTAAAAAACAACATTGGGTATGCCAGGCACATAGGACAGACAGGTGCACAGGCTTGTACGTGGGTCATGAGCCTGAGGGGTGCATGCACGAGTGCAGTGTGGGCTGAGTGTGTGGGGCTGGCTTTTTGCCATGTCTTTTTGTGCAGTGTATACATGAGGGGGTTTCCTCAGCCCCGGCGCCCTGCTGAACATCTCCCTTTGCACCCCCTCTCCAGATTGTCCTGGCCTTTGGCAACTATATGAACAGCAGCAAGCGTGGGGCAGCCTATGGCTTCCGGCTCCAAAGTCTGGATGTGGTGAGGGGCATGAGGAGGGGTTCCCTGGCCTGGGGGTGGGGATGGGGAACTTGTTGCTGGTGGCCTGTGGCTGATGACAGGCCTGCACGCAGCTGCTGGAGATGAAGTCGACTGACCGCAAGCAGACGCTGCTGCACTACCTGGTGAAGGTCATTGCCGAGAAGTACCCACAGCTCACGGGCTTCCACAGCGACCTGCACTTCTTGGACAAGGCAGGCTCAGGTATGGGTGCCGGTACCCCCTTCCTCGGGTGGGGGGAGTGGCTCAGCCCCGGGGACTGATAGGGGTTTGAGAAGTGAGGGGCCCACAGGGTGTCATTGGACAAGAATGCCACCTCTCTGATTCCCTACTTCTGTGCTGCCCCATCCCCCACCCAGTGTCCTTGGACAGCGTCCTGGGGGATGTGCGTTCCCTGCAGAGGGGCCTGGAGTTGACCCAGCGAGAGTTTGTGCGGCAGGACGACTGCACGGTGCTCAAGGAATTCCTGAGGGCCAACTCGCCCACCATGGACAAGCTGCTGGCAGACAGCAAGACCGCTCAGGTGGGCCAGGGCTGGCTGGGCCCTGGAGGTGGGGAGGCGGGGGATGAAGGCCTGGGTCAGGGACACAGTGGGGGGAGGTTGCAGGGGGCCCACCTGCCTGGGGGAGCAGAGATGAAGCGGCCAGTGTCTTAAAGGCGCCCGGAGCTCCTAGGGGTCGGTGCTGGCAGGCCTGACGGGCTGTGCCCACAGGAGGCCTACGAGTCCGTGGTGGAATACTTCGGAGAGAACCCCAAGACCACGTCCCCCTCCATGTTCTTCTCCCTCTTTAGCCGCTTCATCAAGGCCTACAAGGTATGTGTGTCTGGTGGGCAGGCTGGACCCCTGTGGGGCCGTCCGGCCTCTCCACCTGGCCAGCGTGAAGGGTGGGGGATGCTTCTGTTCAGGGGTGGGATAAGACTCCCCTCACGGAGACCTACCTCGGCCCCTCAGAAAGCCGAGCAGGAGGTGGAACAGTGGAAGAAGGAAGCAGTAGCCCAGGAGGCAGGCGCTGACGCCCCCAGCAAAGAGGAAGCCCCAGCACCGAAGGTAGGCGGCTGCGCCTGAGCTCGGCGCTTTGCAGGGATACCCATCCCAAAGACCCAGGCCTCTTCCGTACCCTCATGTCTGGGAACAGACCCTGCCCCAGCAGCCTGGGACGGGAATAGCTTCCTTCTGCTCCAGCCTGCTGTGGGGGACCAGGCCGGCAGGTGTTCTAGGGTTTGGTGGCCTGGGGAGAGGGGATCCTGGAGCTGCAGCTGTACACCTTGCGTGACCACCCCCACTCCCTCATCACCACCCAAGGTCCGGAGGCCGCAGATGGACCTCATCTCTGAGCTGAAGCGGAAGCAACAGAAGGAGCCACTCATCTACGAGAGTGACCGCGATGGGGCCATTGAAGATATCATCACAGGTGAGGCTTTGGCTGGACCTGTTCTATCCTCTGTCTGTCCTTCTAATGCTGTTCTCCCCCCACCCCAACCCTAGGGGTCTGGCTGCCTCACTGCTTCTTGCTACTTTTCCTATCTTTTTTCCTTTCTCTCCTCCCTCCTCCCTCCCAACCCTCAGTGCTCAAGACGGTGCCCTTCACGGCCCGCACCGGCAAGCGGACGTCCAGGCTCCTCTGTGAGGCCAGCCTGGGAGAAGAGATCCCTCTCTAGCCCCCAGGTACCTGGGTAGCCTGGCCTCTGAGCCCAGAAGCTGCCCACAACCCTGGGGGCCCTCGGGGGACTGGGTCATGCTGCCCTCCCTGGGGCCACACGTGGCTGGGGTGTGCTTGAGCAGGGTCTGGTAAACATGAACAGGTCCCTTCCCACATGCACACAACCGGGGTCCCTACAAGGGTGAGGCCTGTGGCCTGGAGTTAGGGTCCTAACCCCGGGGCAGACTTCGGAAGGGTGAGTGTCTCTCTTCTTGGCTGCCAGATCTGCGGAACCAGCCCTACATCCGCTCAGACACAGGCCGCAGAAGCGCTCGCCGGCGCCCCCCAGGACCCCCCCTGCAGGTCACCTCTGACCTCTCGCTGTAACTGCTGTTTCTGCACAAGGACTCAGTGGGGAATGGGGGATGGCAAGCAGGGGGGCCCAAGGAAGGTGGTCCTCAGCTCGGCTGGGCCGGGCAGCCCCCTCTGCCGCTGCTGCCATTCTCCGCGATGGTCCCACCTCAAGTGGTCGGGTGCAGGGGCATGGAGGGGACAGCATCGCCAGCCCCTCCCCCAAATGCTGCTTGCAGCACCCCTCTCTCCCTAATAGCCATACTTAGCCTCAGCCGGAGCCTGGCCTGTAACTTATAAAGTGCAACCTTGCGCTCTATCCCCAGCTCCGGAAACTCTCCACGGACCTTATTTTTATACAAGATTAATAAAGATGTTTGCAAAAGATCCGCGTCCGCTGTGTGCCCGCCCCACCACACGCAGGCTGTTCTGCTCCGCAAACGCTTTACTTTTTCATAGCAGGTTTCTGCAAACAGGCTGGCGAAGGGGAGTAGGGCTGCTTCTGCACTAGAGTTGGGGGGGAGGGAATCATCCTCGAGAGGCGCAGATAGTCTAGTGGCTGGCCCACGAACTCTGTGGGAGGGCAGAGGGGTTGTGGGGAGGATCAAGCGGGCAGCTCCCCTCCTGAGACTCCGGATTAGCCCCACCTCAGTCCTCCGGTCTATGTGCCCCGCCCCGTCTCCGCCTCCTGAGACTCGGTCCCAGCCTTGGTCAAGTCCCTGCATGATCCCAGGTTACTTCGCCGGCCTCCTCTCTGTTTCCTGGAGTCGACTCGCACGCAGTGCCTGCCCCTCCCCTGTCTGCCCCGCCCCGCCCCCTCGCTCTGCTCTCACCCGGGCTAAGCGACCTCTGGGTGGGCACGAGCTTGTGGCGGCTGGAGTGGCAGGACTTGGGAAGTCGGACATTGGGGCGCGGGACTCGGTGCCCCATCACGTCTTCTGGGGGTGTCCACACGGCCAAGTTAGGTATCTGAGAGTAGGGGCTGTGCGCACCTGGCCCGGGGAAGCCGGTGGGAGGAAAAGGAGAGGCTTATTCCTGACAGCAGGTCCCTGAGGGAGGGTCCCCCCTCTGTCGGGTCCCCGCCTGGCCCAGGGCGCACCCGCTTTGTGCAGTCTGTGCAGGGAGCGCTCCAGCTCGGCGCTGGAGAGGCCGCTGAGACGCGCGGCCTGGCAGAAGAAGGTGAGGCCCACGTGAGGGCGCCCCGCGCTGCTGCGCCCTCGGGACCCGCCCTTCCAGCCGGGGTTCAGCTGCAGAGCCCGCTGCTTCTTGGTGTAGTAGCTTGAAGGGACAAGTGGGGGGCAGCCTCGTCAGACACCGCCTCCCCCAGTCTTCTCCATCTCACAGGTGGGGAAACCACCTCAGGACAGGAGGCCACAGGAAACTGACCCGGCATTCGGGGCTCCCATCTCCCTCAGGGGACCCCTGCAGGGGGCAGCAAGTGCTCCCCCATCCTGGGTCCTGAAGCTGGGGACATGGGCCTACCTCATCACTTCCTGCACCACCCTGTGAGGCAGGAGGCCCTGGTTCATCAGCTTGAACAGCATCTCTAAGAACAGGGTTTGCAGGCCCTGGGGGTCCCAGAACTGGCTGTTCCTCACCTGGCCTGGGGGCAGAGATCGGGGTTGGCGGGGCGTGTGAGGAGGAGCTTCCCCTGGTCCAGACCCTTCCCACCCCCACCAGCCTAGCCCCTCACCCAAGCACTGAGCCAGGCGGTAGCTGTCAGTGAGGACACCCAGGAAGTCTTTGAAGCTTACGGTTCCATCACCTGGGGAGAGAGAGAGAGGAAGGGGCACTGGCGGTGCCTCCCCGCCCCCCGCCCCCCCCCTCCTGCAGAAGGCTCACTCTGCATGTGCTTTAGGGGTGTGTCTGCAGCTCCTTCCAGACACTAGAGAATCCAGTCCCACCTCCAGGCAAATGTCAACCCAGGTGGAATGGGGGAGAAATAGCCCTTGCCTTGGGGGATCCCCCAGTCACGAGGATTAACACAGCAGAAAGGTTTAGGGCTATGGGATAGGTGTGTTGATCAGAGCAGGCTTCCTGGAAGAGGGAACTCTAAAACAGGACTGGGCTGGGGATTCTGTGGGTAAAGGAGACCTTGTCCAGGGCTAGAAGTGAGGGAGGACAAAAGGCCAGGGATGGGGGGCGCCCACCATCCAAGTCTGCCTGCTGCAGGGCCTCACACATCTCCTGTGGGCTCAGCTGGATGCCCACATTGCGCAGGGTGGCTTTCATGCTGCGCATGTCCACAGAGCCTGTCGGGCCGGAGCTGAACAGTTTGAAGATCTCCTGGAACGCTGCGGGCGGGGAGGGAGGCAGGCAGCAAGGGGACGGCACGCAGGGGCTGGGACGTCTGCCCACTCCAGCTCATAACGGGACTAAGGACTTGGGTCATTCCCACCGCGGGGGCATGAGAACATTTAAGAACAGCAGTGGCTGCTGTGTTGGCCCTTGTCAAGGCCCCATTAAAAGTCTCAGGTCCAAGACTCATGTCTGGACATTCAACATTTATGTCAAGGTCACACCATCAGTAGACTGGGCAGTGCTGGGCTTCGGACTCCGGCTCTGGGGCTCAGTGCTCAGAGGCTCACGGAGCCCGGCCGGCCCCGGCAGGGAGCAGGAGCTGAAGATCACTGGTGGTGGGTGAAATGACTGCTTCAAGGGGCCCCCGCCAGCGGTACCGTGGCTTTGGGGCCCCCAAACATAGACCCCACAGCTCCAGACTCTGGAGGGGAGCAGGGAACTCAGATTATTTTTCCCCACCCTCTCTCCCAATTTCCTTCCTCCCTCTTTCATCTTTCATTTGTGCAGTCCATCCACCCATCTCTCTCACACACACACACACACACACACACACACACATCAGTGAACCCTGGAATTGTAAAGATTAGCCAGTTAGACTGGCATCGAGGGACAGTTACATGATCACCAACTTCTCACAACAACCCCAGTCTCTGGGGAGAACACCCCTTGCCGTTCTGCCGGGAGCACCCCCCTATTCTCCTCTGCTCCCTGTCCCCCGGCCTCACCTGCCAGCAGCCGGGCTGTCAGGGGCAGCAGGCTCTCCTCTGCAGAGCTGATTCAGGAGGAAGAGGGTGGAAAGGACTTTGCACCTGCTGCAGAAAGTTGCCGGGGCCTGGCAGGCCTTAACCCAAACCCTGCACCTTGGACCTGGTCTCTGTTCCCTGCCCTTACCGCTGAGACCCGGAGCCTGACCGCACTGAGCTGGCAGCTGCAAGGCGCTTGAACTCCCTGGGCCTTTGGGAGCACTGCTCAGCCCCTACGCCTTTGATGGATGCTGGCTCCCTTGGGCTCAGTGGGGGGGCGGGCTGCTGAGGCCTCCCCTTCTGTGTCCTGCAGCCCTGCTCCCCTCCTGGGTCCTGTGTGGGCAGTCTTCTAGGCTGCTGTGGGGACCTTGGAGGCAGAAGATGACAGGGGTGAGGGGCCGGCCCGCCTGAGTGCTCAGACTAGGAGGGGAGGAGGAGGGCCCTGGGACCAGGCGTGTGGGGGCTCAGGCTCAGCTCTACCTTCTCCCAGGACCCTCACACCATCCTGTACCCACAGGGGGATTCTGCGGACAGTAGCTTGTCCCAGCAGGCCCTTTGCCAGCCCGGTTACCTGTACATTCCCTGTGCCAGCGTCGGGGATTTCTTGGTCTTCTGCCTTCGGCTGCCTGAAAGGCAGAGTCGCAGACTTGAGGCTGGTCCAGTGCACCGGCCCCGCAGCCCCTAGGTTTGTTTTAGCTGCTGTTGGCATCGGGGCACTCTGTCCCTCGACACAGGCCCAATTCTTCTGGCAGGGGGTGGGGACCTGCTGCCTTACACTTGAGTTTCTGCTCCCCTTAAGGCATCTGAATTTGCGACTGCACTCCAGACGCTAACATAGGCTGGCAGAGGCCCAGGGAGAAGAACGCCTTAGAGTCTGGAAGTGAGGGCATGGGAAGGAGGGGTACAGCCGGCTGTGGCCCACTCCCACCTTACCCCAGGTCTCCTGGCGGGGAAGGGTCTCCTCTTCCAAACCATGCAAATTCACAAACCACAGTTCACAAAATACTCCAAGAAGATGCTTCCAACAGCCCAGCCGCTCCCCAGATACTCACCTCCATATCTCCTCTTTCCAGTCTCCGCACCCCCCACGCGCCCCCCCACCCCCACCCCATTGGCCCTGGCCCATTCCCAGCTGTTCATCCCTTCTTAATCCCACCCTCCTAGGGCCTGGGTGGGCAGGCTTCTAAGGATCAGCAAGGCTGGGTCTTCACCTGGAGCCTTAGTGCTGGTGGGTCCGGAGGCTGACAGGGCCCAAGCGAGGCTCTCCCTTCCCCTTCTTCCCTCTTCACACCCGAGTCCCTTCCCACATTCTGAATTCCCTTCCCCCCTTTGCTGCCAGCTCTCCCACATTGCCTGTCCTCCCTCAACGTGGGAAGGCTTGTGCATTCGTGTGCATGTTGAGTACACGTGTCTGGCGCACAGGCAAGTGTGTTGATGTGTGCTTGTGCACACGGCCAGTGTGGAACTGTCTTGTGAGTGAATGTATGTCTGTGCATGCCCGCATGGTGCGTGAGTCAGCGGAGGGTAGGTGTGTACGTGTGTAAGTGTGTCTGGGTTGCACAGGGAAGCACACCATTACATTCAGGCTCGCTCCTACATTTTGAGATACTTGTAGCTCAAGGCTGTGTGGCCCCTGGAGGGGCAGTCCTTTGGCTTATCTCTTCCCCTCCTTTAAGGCCCTGAGCACTGTCCATTCCCCATACCAGGCCCTCGCTGTGGACAGAAGTGGGAAGAATTCCTTTCAGACTTGCCTCCTCACCTGGCCAGCTCACCCCCCCAGAGGCCCTCTCCAAAGATGATCCCAACATGTCTCTGGCTTCAGGCCAAGAGGAGGACCCACTTCACGACCTAAGACACCGGAAGACTTGGGGCGCCTAAGGGCCTCAGTGGGTTAAGCCCCTGCCTTCAGTTCATGTCTCAGGGTTCTGGGATTGAGCCCAGCATTGGGCTCTCTGCTCAGCAGGGAGCCTGCGTCCCCCTTTCTCTCTGCCTGCTTCTCTGCCTACTTGTGATCTCTGTCAAATAAATAAATAAAATCTTAAAAAAAGAAAAGAAAAGAAAAGACACCTGAAGCCTCAGACAGGGTCATGAGTCTCTTCCACTGGCTGAGAGTTCTGGAAGGGAGTGAGGAGGGGCTAAATAGGGCTGGCAGAGCCCTCAGGGACAGGGTGGGCAGGTGGGTTGGGGCAGATAAAAAAATAGGGGTGGGTTGAAATGAGTACTACAGGACGGGTTAACTAACTAGAATTGAAATAAAGTCTTGAAAAAAAAAAAAACCCATGGAGGGCGGCATCCCTAAGAAATCGAGATCAGGACGCCGCAGCCACATGAGCTCACTAGTCCGGGAGCATTTGCACAAAAAGTCTGAGCCGGGGGGGCCAGCACTGGAGGCTTTTACTGGTTTTGTCTAGTCATTTCATTGGGGAAGTGGGGGACGACATCTTAAAATGGATTTTCAGCAATAATGGATTCCCTTTCCTGGTTCCTGGCACCGAGCTGCAACGCAAAAGAGAGAGTGTCACTTGGGCCCCAGTGGCAGGGTCCGGGAGGGGGCTGAACCCAGACGCCTCTGCGAGGAGGGCCCGCGGGGGGTGGGGGGGTAAGAGAGCCTCTTCCTGCCTTACGCGGTTGGGCAGGCTGGCTCTCTGTTATGTCCATTCATCACCAGGAAGCCAGGGGTGCTGGAGAGCACAGTTCCCCTCACATTCTGCTCCAAGGAGGCATCCTGGGCCCTGGGCCATCGAGTCCTCAGCAGGACAGAGGCTAGCCGGAGCATGGCCCATGAAGGTGAGGCCACCTGCCTTCTGGGGACCGAGCTTCCTAATGCTAGAATGGCCCTTCCCAGGGCCGAACCCAGGTCCTTGCCTGGGCCCAGAAGTGCTCACCCTCCATGGTCCCCGGGCCTCCTCCAGCCCTGGCCTTGGCTCTGCCCCTCAGTCCACCGGAACCTTGTTTCCAGCAGCCTTTATGAGGTCACTGAGTTTGAGACATCACAGCCCACCCCGTCCCCTCCCCAGCCCCTCATTCCATTTCCCCACCCCTACTCAGCTGCGTGAGGAGTGGGCCCACCCACACATCCCAGCACACCCCCTTTGCGGGAAGCTGGGGGCCAGACTCACTTACCCCTTCACGGATCCTTTAGGAGGAGGGGACCTGGCTGGCTGCTGGAGAAGCTGCACTTCTCCTTTTATGGTGGCCCTCTTGATCCCTGGCTTGCTGAAATCCAGGTAAGGGTGGAAGAAGTTCTTGTCTTCCTGCTTCCAAGCTTTCTGTGACTCCTCAGTTTCCAGAGATTTCTCCAGCAAGTCCTTAGTGAGCTTTTCCTTCTCTGGCTGGTCCGTTACCAGCTGGGGGGCGGGATCTGTAGAAGGTGCCTCGGCCTTCTGAGGCAGAGCTTTGATCATGTGCTCCAAGTTGGGCAAGTCCATCTTGCTGGAGGAGGCCACGGCCAAGGAAGAGGCAAAGTTGACCAGGTCGGCCAGGTCGATGCCCGGTGAGGGATTGGAGGAGGGCGGTGGGGGGTTTGATGGCTGCTGGGAGTCGGCGGCGGGCGGCCCTGGCTGGGCACTGGGGTTTTCGATTTGCTTTGTGCAGCACACACAGGCGTCCTCGAGGTCAGACTCCTGGTCCTGACAGCTAGTGGTCTTACCTGTGTTATTGCTGATCGCCCGCCGCAGGCTGCGTTCTGAGGCCTGGATGTGTTTGTCTGCCCAGAAGAGATGGTTAGAGGTCTGCACGCGGATAGAGCGATGGTTGGTGGACGCCTGGTCCTCCTCTGGCAAACTCACATAGCTAGAATGCGACCTCACACTCCAGAGGCTGGTGTGCCGCGGCGTGTGGGGCTGGAGGGACTCTGTCCTAGACTCCGGCTGCTCGGGGTCCCTGGGCTCAGGCTCCGGCTCTGGCTCGGGCTCAGGCTCCAGCTCCGGCTCTGGCTCTGGCTCCGGTTCCGGCTCCGGCTCCAGCTCTAGTTCCCGCTCTAGTTCCTGCTCTAGTTCGTGCTCTATGTCCAGGTCCACTTTGTGAGTGCGATCCAGTTCCAGCAATTCTTTCTCCAGCTGAAAAGTTTCAACTGAAGTTGAAGAGGCCCCTGGCCCTGAGGTCCTTCTGGGACCAAATCTCTGTCCCCCTCTCCTGAGCCTTCCTCCCCTCCTGGTCCCTCTTGCAGAGACCCACCTGGGGCAGGGAGACAGTATGGGGCGCTGGCGAGGGTAGGTGGGAACGAGGGCACCAGCATGGCCTGGTGCAGGCTCCCGGGATTGGCAAGGATTTCGAGAAGATGGGCCCTAAGGAGTCCAGCCCCTTACCTCCCACCTCCCCCTAAGAGGCGCTCCTGCCCACGGTTACCTCGATCTCCTCTTCCTCTTCGAACGGCTGCTGTTGGTTTAGGTCACTGCTACGAAAGAAGGGGACAGAATGGATGACAGGCTTCCGGGGGGTGGGTGGGGTGGTTTTAGGGGGGAATGGAGGTCTCTGGGGCCCTCAAGATTCCCTCTCCTGTACAGAGGCTGGCAAGACCCCCCGCAGCTCATCCACTCCCCTCACAGTCCCTGCACCCACCAAGAATTCTGGAGCAACATTCTCTATCTTTAGTGAGTTTGGGAGGTGCCTGGAGAGGCCCTACCCCAAAGAGGGATCCAGTCAGCTGGAGGTAAGGCCCAGGATTCTTCCTTCTGATCAAGTATTCCCATGAGCCAGTGAGCTCCCCCGGGAGGACTGGTGCCCAGAAGGCGGCTCCCAACAGAGGGAGAAGTCCAGGGCGACGCCCTCCTCCTGAGCTGCCCAACCCCAGCCTGGCAGATCTCAAAGGCAGGGGTGTGTGTGGAGGCTCCCCTCAGCTCTTGTTGGCCATGTGCTGCTAGCGTCCTTCCCCTCAGTGCTCAGCCCCTGTGACTCCCTCTCCTTTCTCAGGCTTCGGGTCCCCCCTCACCTCAGGCCACTCTACTCAGAGCAAGGCAACCAGAAGGGCTCAGTTCCCATCCATGTCCCCGAGTGTACCCCACCACCCCTCAGTCCTTCATTAATGTCAGAGGCTGGACACAGAAGCAGAAGGGGGGGGTGGTAGGACTCCTCTCCCACCCAACACTGCCCTTGAGGAGATATTGGAAAGAAGCAAGATGGAGGGAGATCTTGGGTTGGGGGGGGGTGGTATATGAAAGTGTGGCAGTGGTGGCAGGGGGTAAGGGTTGGTGGTCCTGGAGGGTGGGGGACTGGCTCTCACTGTGTCTCCACAATGTCCACTGACTCCTTGCCACAGCAGGGGAATCCATTGGCACCTGGCAGGGAGAAGGAGGTGAGGGCCAGGGAGCTGCAGGGGGAGATGTCCCTGGGGCATTCTGGAACCCTGGGCAGGTGGTACTGCTCTAGTTACCCCCTCCCTCCCTCCCTGTCCTGCATCTCAGCTCATTCACCACCGCCTCTCCCATCCTGCCCCTTGCTCCCTCCTCTCTCCAGAGTCAACAGCCCTGCCCTCCTCATCTGCTCCCCTCTGCGCTATAATTTGCCTTTCCTTTCACTCTCCCCAATCCATCACCCTTCTCCCCGAGGATGGATGCTAACAGGTTTCACTGCTGTTTCTTGAGGGCTGCTAGCCCAGGCAACGGGTTGGGCACATTCTGTGCTTTATCTCATCGATTCAACACAAAAAATGACAAGAAATTCATTTGCCCAAGGTCCCTCAGCCGAGGGTTGCCAACACCAGGAGCTGGATGCAGATTTGAAAACTCTTCACTCCCCTGCCCCACGTGCTACCTATGAGGCGTCTGTAACTGGGTGGGGACCCCTAAGAACACATCCATTCCTGGTCCTTGGCCCCCTTTCCTCTCTCTTCTCTGGCCAGGCTTCAGATCTGGCACTCCCCCTAATCCTGGCCCCTCCTGCCCTGAAGTCCTTCCTCTCCTCCAGGCTTCTCATCCTGGGGTCACCCACCTGGGGAATTTTTGCCCCAGGCATTTGATCTGTGGGGATGCTGACTGCAGTGTTCTCATCACTCTCTGAAGAAGAGGTTGAGCATAGCCTTGGGGAAGG